AACCCCTACCATTCTGTGATTCTGTGATAAGAAAGACTATTATCCAGTTACCAGCAGCAGTAGAGGTAATTTGTGCAGTGTTACAGGAAGCTTGCGCTGCCTGAAGGTCTAAGTTCTCCATTAATGCCAGTCTCTTTGTACTTATGTCTTGTTTCCAATTTGTATGTGTCAGTGCTTTGTAGTCCCACAATTAGTTAACTAAGTCTTGTGTGTGTGTTTTTGGGTTGGGTTTGGTTTTTTTTGGTCACTTTAAAAAACAAACAAAAACCCAAAAGTACATGCAGTCTTAGACCACTCAGCAGAATTCATATAAACCATTTGCTGTATTTCTACAAGAAATTAAAGTACAGAATAAAGTCTTTAGCTCCAATGCTCTCTACTGAACAAAACCTGTCCACCATCATTATAGAATGCTTGTCACTGCATTAGTATTTCAGTGTAGTCTGGTAAAATGCTCGGCAGAATCAGTGGCACTGTAGAAACATTAGCAGGATCAGATTAATTAGAAAATAATCTTGGGTTTGCTCTTGCTTGAAATAACAGAACAGAAAATTTTAAAAACTGTACATCTTGGTCTGGCTTTGTGGAGACGTCACTTGTCTCTCTAGTTTGTGGAAGAAGGTGATAGAGGTGCCTACAGCTTCCTTTTGGGGGTATTTAGAATTATTAAATCTAGTTGCAAGAAGCAATTCTGAATAACCACCTTGTTACACTTACTCCTCCTCTTCCCCCCCCCATGTTTATCTTGCCCTTTGCTATCATCAGAGGATGTTGTGACAGTCAAGTATAGAATGTGCCTAGCAGTACTCATCCTGTAACTATGAGCTCGACGAAGCATCACTGCATCTCTGAGCTTTTTAAAGGCTCCTATGTTCCGATGAGAAACATATCTAACTGGCATTTTAAGTAGCACTGAGGCTTTTCTTTATCTCAAACACTGTCAAAAGAATCTTGTTATGTAATTTACTTAGTATATGAATTTCCTTTATGGGTAGTTTTTTTTTCTTTTGCATGCTTGGTGACTGCTGTGTATTTTCATTAATGATTTGGAAACAGTATGCAAGTGATATGCATATATATATATATGATCTTAATTGTGTATACTGCTGCTTCTTTGAATACAGAGGTATCTGCTTCATATAATTGTATTGCATTTCTGTCTTTCTATCAAAAAGACTATGTTGAAATCATTTTCTTCCCCATACTTTTCTTGGCCACATGCTAATAGAAATTTCTGTTTCTTGGTACTTAGGTAATAAGTCCTGAGAAATACGATATCAAGTGTGCAGTCCCAGAAGCAGCAATAATCTTAAATTCATGTGTGGAACCCAAAATGCAAGTTACTATCACACTGACATCTCCAGTCATTCGGGAGGAGAACATGAGGGATGGAGGTTGGGAAGTTGTTAAAGATGTTACTTCTTTCTCACCTGTTTTTATCTGTTATTTATCTATTCTACTTAAGATGGCATTAAGGTCCTAGAAGGCAACATGCTGGCACAACTAATGTATTTGATTGAAACCTTGTTTTTCAACAACTAGTCTCAGTAGAGAACAGCTGGTTAAAATAAATGCTTATATGATGCATTTGTTTAATTTTTAAAAATTCTAACTTTATGTCCAACCTCAGCTTTCTGGAAAAGGTACAAACTTGACTCTTTCTCTTTTCTTTTTTTTTCTTTTCTTCCCCTCCTTCTTATAAAATTATGTGGAAAACTAAGTATTTTACAGCAAGTGGTTATAAACTGGCTTTCTAAAGCAGACTTGCCCTAAGAGAAATATTGTATGGTTTTAGAAAAATAACAGATTTTTTGATTTAAACTGGATCAGTATTACCATCACTTACACATTCCAAATAGCAATGCCACTTACAATGCACTTTTATAATACTTTTGATGGTAACAGTGCTTCTAACTTTAAAAGACAATGTGTTTTATTTTTATTTTTTATTCCCTTCTTCCCCTCCCCCCCCCCATCTCTCTGAGGTTGCTTTTTGGTCTGGATTGCTTTTTGAGTATATTTAGGCTCCTGATATTACAGTCAGTCTTCTATCCAACTGGCAAACCCAGATTATTACAATAATAAATGGCTTTGTTGTTGAGCTGAAGCAGAAGGTGGAGCTTGTGAACTTCAGAAACGTAATTCGATTTACATTTTCTCTGGTGCCAGCAGTGTTGCTTTAGGGTCTCTTCTGTAACACTTTCAAAGCTCCAAAAGCTTTTAAGCCAACAAGCATGATTACTGTCTGCAGTACATTGGTTCTTTTTTGTTTACGGGTCAGATAAAATTAACTTTTGTTTCCTTTTAATCCCGTATTTTCATAGTTGAACAAGATCATGGCAAACAGGGTTCTGGTGTTTGACAGTGAACCTACAGATAGGAAATCTGAGGCTATCTTAACACTTCTCATATGCAGGTTGAAAAAATTGTATGTGTGTATGTATACATGTGCCAGCGTATATACATATTTATATAAGCCACAGAGGCTTTTTTATTTCATCTCATCATTACATGTCCTCTAAAATACTTGAGGTTTTTATATTGCATTAGTAAATGTTCTGTAGCTATGACTAGTGCATTTTAAGCAAGCTGTGTTAACAAAGTCATCCTACATAATCAGAAGGAAAAATTTCAAGATACATTCTCTAGTTTGGATGACTTCTGAAGAGTCTTTAAGAGTGCTTCGTACATGATTTTTAAGCTGTGCCTATTATTCCTAGCTATAAAGGCTTTGTACATGTACTGTCACACCCAACCAATTCTACTTGTTTTTTGACAATCTAAGTGTAACATGACTCTTGGTTTGTCTGTACTGAATCAGACTTCACATATTAAGTTCATAAAGAATACTTTAACTTAAAAGATATGATTATTAAATTACATTAACCATTAAATGAAATTAACCTTAAACACCATGTTTATTTCTTTATGTACTGTGCAAAAGTGCAATATTGATTCCTACCACAATACTCAATTTCAATTTTCTGGCCTAAAATCCTATGATGTAGACTAAAAAGAAAATAAATTTCAAATTGCTACGATCGATCCCTTAATTTATGCCACCTAAAGGAAACAAATCTATATTTTTGTCTGACCCACACTTAAGTTAAAATGATCATTGTGAGTTTATTCACTGCCGAATGCAGTGTTGCTTCCAAGAAAGCAAAATCAAGTTAGATTTCTCTTCAAGACACTGAGCAGGTATAAAATGGATGTGCAGAAAAGTTCATTTTTGAAGCTAGAGCAAATAGAAGACTGAATTGCAAATTATTGCAGCAAAGGCGGCCTTATTATGAAGACTGCTACTTATTTGCTGCAGAGTAATAGTATGTGTTTGTGGGTTTTTTTTTTCTTACTGCAGCTTCTCATGCTCTGTATCTTACAATGGTTTAAAGTTTTTGGGGTTTTTTTGTGGTTTTGGGGTGTTTTTTTTGTTTTTTTAACCTGCTTGGGGAGCTAGTTCAGGTGATAAGGAAGGCTTTACCGGAAGAACCAGTTTGAGTAAAGATGAGACTGAGACTTACATGTGGAGCAGAATCATGTTTGATTTGTAATAATCCCGTTACGTGATAAAAGGCTAAAAAAAATAACAGTGTGAAATAAAATTGTTAGCCGCATAGCTACTGTTCCTTACAGTATTGTGCGTTTGACAGTTTACCGAATCTGATATATCCAAAGTGCTCTAACCCCTGCTGTGGAATCTTTCCTTCAGCAAACAAAGTGTACATACTTAGGAACGTGTATATGTGTGTGCATGTCTCTTTTTTTATCCTTAGCTAACAGCCCCGGTCCAAAGCCTTCTAGCAGAGGGACTTGATTCCTGTCAGGGGTTGCTGCCAAGACATCGGAAGGATTTTTGACCAAGGTTTTCTAAAGCTCAGTGTCACACCTGCCATGCCTTACAAAGGAGGGGTTTGGATGCATAGTCCTAGCATCTACTGTTACTTTGTGTGGTTCTTTTTGTCTTTGTCTCTCTCCTAGAATTAAGCAGTGTTCACACTAGTCTTGAAATAGTTGACTGGGTAAAATGTATTTCACATAATAAAACTTACCAAAATTGATATACCTGTTAACTTTTAATGAAGAGGTAGTGTGGACACAGCATGTCTAATTGAAGATTAACCCCTTATATTTAGGCTAGTAATAAATTAAGTTATATAGGGTAAGAATTCACGCTTGAGTTTTGTAAATTAATTCAGTTTTTTTGTCTTAGCTTAACAGGGTGGGAGGTTAGGCATCTGAATTTAGTTAAATAGTCTTTAAGGGGTTAATCCTGAAATGTGGAACAGATGCAAAAATCCACAGATTAAGTATTACAAGAATTTCCTTGATACATTTTTTCAGTCAATGTATTCTCAGTGCAGTAGGTGCCTTGCAACGTCTGACTTAGAGTCTTTTAAGTTTCAAGGGCAATCATATGAAGTCTATTAGTAGCACATTTTAGATTGACATTTCCAGCACTAAGATTCTCTTCTGTGCACTTAAACTGTAATTCTTTTTAAGTAAAAGTATTTTCCAAATTGAAAATTTTCAGAGCTAGAATTGGAGTTTCAAATTATGTGGTGAATTATTGTGATAAAAGTTTGCACAGCGTCACCTATTTGCATATTAGTTTTAGAAGAATGTGAAAAATTAACTGATTAGGGTACTAGACCCAACAGACCCATATTTTTATTTTTAATTTCTCAACTTTACTTTGCCTCTTTTTTCCTGCTGGTGGCTTTCTCTAAATGTACTACTTGTTGTTTATATCCAAGTTGTGCTTGTTTCATCAGTTATCTTACCTGGCACCTCTCTTGTATAGGTTTGGGGGGGAGGTGTGTTTGTTTTGTTTTGTTTTGTTTTAAATGAAATACCGCTTTAAATGTCTTCATTTACTCTGTAAATGCCTTGTTAGTGCAGTTTTTCTTCTTTCCACTTTAACATATAGACCATATGTTTGAATATCTGTGTGAGAAGATACCTATGTTCTTCTCAGCTTTGTTCTTATTTTGAAATCCTCTCCCTTTTAGCCCTGTGCAGAGCAATGGGACTATCCTATTTAAAAAAAAAAAAACAAAAAAGCACGCCCAAATATGAATGTAGTACTTCAGATTAAATTTAATGATTATATTGCAAAGTTGTAGCACCATGTTCATTCATGGCTTTTTAGTTCTCTGTATAGTAAAGTATCCTACTATTTATTTTACATTTGTGTATAAATAGGTGGCTTCAGAGCTGTCTCTCTGCAGCATCCCTAGAAGCTTCTCCTCGCTGGCATGTTTCATGAGACCCAAAATATATATTAAAATGTATTTATATATACACACATTATATTCTCAGACTTACCTAAATTTATATCTTGCTGGAGTAAACTATATCGTTCCATACAGCCAACTCCTGTGAAATGAGTGCCATTGAGTGAGGGCTGTTTTCTTTCATCTTACCTGGTGTATCGTCAGCTATGCTACTGACTACTTTGTCACTAGTCACAATAGCCATTTTCATAATTAGTAAAACAGAGAACTTGTAAAGATTATTATTGCATTATATCCCTACAATTTTTAAGTAACCCAAAGATAACATTTTATATTATTCAGTGGTTCCAGTTTCATTGATTAAACCACTTCCAAAAGGGCTTTGTGGTCTTTTCTTTTTTGGTAACAACACAATCAGCTTGGTAATTTAATGAACCCTTTTCTGAACATTTAAATATACAAAATCTACTATATTTTCTTTCTTTCAGACATTCTGCTTTGTTTTTTAAACTATTCCTTGCTTTTCTTTTTCCTGCTTTTCTGCTGAATCTTGAGTAAAGCAGTTCCTTTGCATCCTTCCTTGCATCCTAAATGATATTGGAGCATCTATATCATGGGCTGAGGAATTTATTTATATGAGAAATATTTTATAAGAGAGAGGGTACTAGACAGTAATGGAACTCTAATACTGAAGAGCATTTCACATTCCTTTAGTCAGATTTTTTAAAGCAAAATAAATTCCATCTTAAGGTATGATAACATAGTTACTAAACATCTAGTGCTTTTAAGTTTGTTTGGTTTGGTTTTTTTATATACTTAGTTTTTCTTTCAAAGAGTAGGTCCCAAATAACACGTGACCATTACAATTTACAAGAAACTAAGTTTCAATGTTTCTACTTGGTTAAAGTGGATTTTTGTGTTCCTTCTGTCTTGTGTTCTCTGTGCTGGTGCAGTGTGTCCAACCATCCTTCCTTCAGTATTTAATTTTAGGGGATATGTGTTTTTCCAGTGTTAGCTTAAATAAAGAAGTACTATGCGTTGCATAATCTGCAATGCATTTGAAAATAACCTGAGAGCTAAAGTATAGTATGCTCTTGATCTTCATACTGGGTTGATGCCCTAATCCTAATTGAATGGCTTTTATTGAACATTAACATTTTGTTGTTCAAGTGTTTAAACTTTAAATGGCATGTGTGACATTGAAGCCACTTTAAGGAAGTGTCTTGCTCACTTGGTCAAACACCCATTCCTCACTGCATTTTGCCAATTCAATCCATTTTAGATGTAACCTCGGGTATGGTGAAAGACCCACCGGACGTCTTGGACAGGCAAAAATGCCTTGACGCTCTGGCTGCTCTACGCCACGCTAAGTGGTTCCAGGTTTGGAACATCATTTTACTTTCTTCTTGTAGCCTTATGAAAGATTAGTTCAGTTGCAATATAAATGTTTAACTGTGTGAAAACACTCAGCGTTGTTCATGCTAATAATACTTAATATTTTTCTGGTCCCTAAATTTAAATGTAGAAGGTTGAGTATGAATGAACTGCTTTATGCAGTTATTGCTCATTTGACATGATTTTTTTTTTCTGGTCATTGAGAAGGCAATGTTGAAAGCTTGACTCACTTGGGGTGATCATATGTTGTATATTTGTTATATATTCCATAAGGCTGCAGAGTAACTTTGCTTTAAGTAATGGAATATGTGTTTAAAGCTTTGTGTTTAGATTTAAGACACTTTTTTCCTATTTCTTTAAGTGCATTAAGTGTGGGGAATGAAAGGCGAGAAGCAACTGTTTGGTTTAGTGACTTTGTATTCTGGCAAAGGCACAATAAAGAAACCAAACAGATTCCCTTGACCTTTCAGTCTCTATACCTATTTCTTAGACCTTTACTTTATTCTTTTCATTTCTAATATAGAAAGATACTGTATTTATTGTTACAAGTGAACATGGGTCAAAGTGTACAGGAGATCAAGAAATATTATTCTTGTATAACCTGTGCACTTTGACTTCTATCACCTTGAATTACTAACCCTGTATAAAATACTGCTGTAAATGGCGGCTCATGGAATAAAGTTGTAGAATGATTTGTTTCAATCTTGTATCTGAGCTTCCATTTGAACAGTGGTGTTTTAGTCTTTCAACACGTCCTATTTGCTGTAGGTGCTGGGATTAATTAATTTGATTTTGTATTGCTCTTAAGGCTAGAGCTAATGGTCTGCAGTCCTGTGTGGTTATCATACGTATTCTTCGTGACCTCTGTCAACGTGTTCCAACTTGGTCTGATTTTCCAAGCTGGGTGAGTAATGCTCTTTTGAATGAGTCTTTTTAATGCATATAGTACTGCAAGTAAAGCATAGGAAAGCATTGCTACAGTTTTAAAATGTAGACTTTTTCAAGGAGTAATGTAGGGATTTGTTTGGGTTTTTCTGTTTTTTGTATCAGTGTTGTGTGTGTCGTCCCCCCCAATGATCCAGACTCCTTCTAAAAATTTAATTTTCTGAGGTTTTGTCATTTGGAGCTAGAATTTTTTTCAAAAGGAATTCTCTTGTTCTTTTGAATTCTTTGTGGGTAGCATTCATATCCTAGATTTTGGCATTTTTTACTTTACTCTGTATAAAAGAATCTATTTTTTTAAACCACCTACTCTGAATTGCTTGGACTTTACTGAAACTGATTGAAAATAATGTCAGCTGTGCCCAGATAGCTCTGTGATAACAGAAAGGGTACTTGAAAGAATAAATCACAGTAATTCCTGCAATCATTAATATATCCTTTCTGCAAGATGAAATACCACAGTACTAGTCTGTAGATGTGTCACCGTTAGCATTTTAATCAGTGTCACTTAGATCTCTAGGTTGTACCCGGTTATCTCTCAATTCTTGCAGCCAAGTGTTCTTGGAGCATTCCTTTTACACTGACTATCTTAAATGATGCTCTCCAGGAGTGCAACTTGTGCTCCAAATACTAACAGATGTTCAGTCTGTGGACTGGACAAAATTAGTCTGAAACAAAATCTCTGAAAGTATATATGTGGAGGTAAACTCAGCTTTGACTGTTTTATTTCATAAACAATTTGTTTCCTGTTGCAATGTGCTGCTTCCTAATGTAGACTTTTCAGTTTTGGCAGGGAGAGCGTTAACATTGTCAAGACAGTTACAGTAGTTGGCATTATTTCAATGATAAATTTTTTACAACTGTACTAAGCTTGCAGACAATTTTATTAAATTACTTCTGATAATATTTATTGCTTCTGGAAAAAATGTGGAGCAGTTATTTCTGGTTTTTAAATATTTAAAGTAAAAAAACCCCAAAAGTTCCATTTTCCATGCTACACTTCATGAAAGATACACTGTACAACTATAGCTTAAAAGAAGCTAAGAAGTATGTAAGTGCCCTCAATATCACTATGATACTGAGTTGCCAAAGAATAAACCCTGGCATACTTTTAGAGAAGCATCCTTAGAACTACTGCAACACACAGCAGGCACATAGATGAAGAACAAGAAGAGCGATATGAAGCAGTGTGTCAGGCCTAGCTGTCTCTCCAAAAGTGCTTCCTGGCTTGCTCCTGATACCTGATGCATTGCCAGTGACATGAATCAACATTGAAGTCTGTGTAGTCAGTTGTTCTTTTCACCCGTTGCAAAGTCTTACTGACAAAAACAATGACAGAACAAAAATGGTGATTTTAAATATGTGTAATTTCTGACAGTCACAGATGAAATTTTGTAGGTCAAAGAAATATATTTTTCTAGATACAAAACTTCTCCTGACCTGTATGCTAGAAGCCTGTTACAAGCCAAAGAGATGCCAGAGCTTTTCAAAAAGAGCCTAAGTAGTTGTAATAATAGAAAATAATAGGAAATCTAAACATGGACATTAGTCTCAGCCTCTTTATATACCTAAAAAAATTAAATTAGAAGATTTTTGTCAAGTTCCTACAAGTTAGAAGGAACTCATATTCAAGGTTGTTTTTTTTTAATTTTTTTTTTTTTTAACTTGAAATCCAGCCTTTCATGCACATAAACACCAGGGCATCATAATTCACATTTTCCTAGGATTAAGTTGTGGACTTTAGTGTATTGTATGAGGATCCAAAAGAACTAGACCTGAATAAATGCAATAACATGATCTGCTTTTTTTCTTTCCTGCTGTATTTTGCTTCATACTTGAAAACAACTAAATTACTTTTGCTAAAACTCAAAAGCCTTGTTCCTGAGTGATACAGTGGGAGTATGGAAATACCATGCTCAAGAATTTAAATTTGTCAATTAAATTGAGCTAATATAGAAAGGAATGGGTACCCTTAGTGAAGGATTGTAATCAACGCTGCCTATAGTTACTTGCATGCATTAGAATAGGCATTTACTCTTGGAAAATAAAAATAAAAGGCAACATTTGAACAACTGTGAACTCGAGAGAGGAACCAAAAAGAGCTCCCAAAAAGCCCCACCAAAAACCAAGAGAGACACATTGTTTGAAAATGAAACTTGCCAAAGAGGTGGTATTGAAACATCCATTTAATGCTGAAAAAGCTAAGGAAAGCTATTCTTTGCTTTTGCAAATATCTTTTATAGGTGTTTCTGGAAAAAATAGAGTCTAATAAAAGTAAACAATGGAAATATTCACAGAAAAAAACCCCCAATATTTAAAATACAGCTAAGAATTTAAACCATTTTAACTAATATAAAATAATGTGTAAATTTTAGAAAACCTGTTTATCATCAAGGTTTTTTCTACACTTATTTAACATCTAAGTTAGTGTTAGCCTATATCCAGGAAAAAACTTGCTGTGAACTTCAGTTTTGCTAAACTGAAGAACTAGTAACCACTTAAACGTTAAAAGGTCATGAAATTTTTCATGCTTTAAGTTTCTGTATTCTTGTAGAAAAAATAATTTCTCTGTAGCATCCTGTTAATTTCGCTAGATGAATCAAATTAACCATTTCGTACTGTGTGCTGTTTATTCATGTGGCTGACAGATTCTGGTGACCCATCATGTTTCATGCTCTCTCAAAAAATGGCTGGTCAAGTTGTCTACCTGCATATACAGCCTACATAAATTTCTACAAAACATTTGGACAACTTGTGATTAGAAGCAGCATATCAGTATCAGTACTCAACGTTAATCTTGCAGCAGCTTTCTTTTTATTCATCATTATAGAATATCTGATTTTTTCCATTTTAACTGAAAGCGTTCTGTGATGTGTAATGTTCTTCAAAATTCCAGTATCAAAGGTTCTGTATTGAACAACAGTAGTAGCTTTTTTTTTGTTTAATCAGTCTTCTAAATTGGCTGGATTTTCTTATTGTTGGTCTAGGCTATGGAGTTGCTTGTGGAAAAAGCAATTAGCAGCGCTGCTGGACCACAGAGTCCTGGGGATGCACTGAGAAGAGTTTTTGAGTGTATATCTTCAGGAATCATCCTTAAAGGCAAGTTGCATTTGACCAGTGTCTGTATACTTATGCTTATCTAATGTAAAATCTGTAATCTCAGTTGAAATAAGGGATGTGCTACTAACTAGCCTAACTGTTGTAGGTGGTCCTGGCCTTCTGGACCCTTGTGAGAAAGATCCTTTTGATACACTTGCCATAATGACAGATCAGCAACGAGAGGATATTACTTCAAGTGCACAGGTAAGGAAAAATATGTGTGAAGTAACTAAATTTGATGGCTGGTTTTTTTGGTGGGGGTGTTTTTTGGGGGATTTTGGTTTTTTTAAATGGAGCTATATGGTGGACGTGAATTTTCCTTTCTTAGAATATAGTCTGGTCTTTCAGATGATCAGTCTTAAGCTAGGCAATGAAAATGTCACAACAGAGGATGTATAATAGTGTTCTTTTTTACACTAAAATTAATGTATATCCCTGAAAAGTTTGAAGCACTCCTATCTATATATATTCGTAAAGATGCTCACTCTACAGCAGTATGTTGTTAGATTTAAAATTACATTGGCATTTAATATTTTATAAATAAGTTTGTGTAAGTTTAATTTTTAATATTTATTGTATCCACTTACAGTATTGACCATTCACGCTTGCAGCTTAACAAGTTACTGCCCCTACCTCTTCATTTGATCCTTTCGCTAAAGATTAATAATGCATAATGGGACACGTGACAAGCCTTGGCTGCTTCAGTGCAAGTCCAGCACCTAAATCACATGTATATTATTTTTAAGCTAAGATGATGTACTTTGTACAGAAGCAGCAAATGTGATATACACATTTTATTGTGTTGACTTTGGAGGAAGGAAGAGGGGATAATAAGAGCTAAGGATAATATCATACACCATACCATAATGTTCTTCATTAATTGTTTGACAAAGTACTAGAAATTGACTTTTTTTTTTTTCTAACAGAAATATCTTCTTTCTACTCTTTTTCTAGTTTGCACTGAGACTCCTTGCATTCCGTCAAATACACAAAGTTTTAGGAATGGATCCGTTACCACAGATGAATCAACGCTTCAACATCCATAATAATCGTAAAAGGAGAAGGGACAGTGATGGGGTTGATGGATTTGAAGCAGAGGGAAAAAAAGACAAAAAAGATTATGATAACTTTTAAAAATGTTTGTCATCAGTGCTAAGGTCGAAGGTGATAAAAAGTCCATTTGTTGCCTTGCTTTTAAATGGACATAATAATGTCCATTTAAAACATCCAAAACCAACTCTGTAATTAGATTTGGAAGAGAACAACAACCTAGCTCTTCTGTGAGATTCTGAATATTTTAATGGATGTACTGTTTCAGACAAATTATGGATGGGAAGACTGCAAATGGAAACTGTTGTCATTGGAAAAAATAGTTTGAGGTTTTTTCCTCATTGCATTTTCTTTAAATGTGTTGCTAACTTTAGTAACTTTTCTTTTTTTGTCGTCTTTTTATTAGCAAGTGCATTGTCTTCTTGACTGTATTTAATGCAGCATTTGTGCTTCTGTTGCTATGTGTATTTTGACTTTTTATTTAGAAGGTGTTTTGTTTGCCTTTGTCACACTAGTTGTATAAGTTACTTTGTGTTAGTATAAAGTGTTCCCCTCCCAATTAATATTTTACAGAACTTTATTTTGTAAAGTGAGACTGCAGGATTGAGGGGGGTGGGGGGTGTCCTAAATGTGAAGGGGTCACAACACATAATTATCCTGACATTTGAGTGCACAGAATTAAATGTTTTTGCCAATCTTGTGGCATTTGTCTCCTTAGTGTGACATAACTGTGTAATTAAGACAAATTTGTGTTAATCTAATCAAATTTGCTGTTAGTTGTGCATTAGCAGTATAAAAGCTAATATATGCAGTATGGTTATGCAACAGTTTTAAAACAGCTGCATAATTGATCAAAGTTTTGCATGATGTTTTTGTTTTTAATAGAAGGGCTTTTAAAACTATCACTTTAGGTTAAATGCATAGGTCTTTGTATGATTGACTTTGACGTAGCAAGGCCGAAAAATAACTTTCTGAATTTCTTTTCTCAACATACAAGCAGAAGCAGGCATTTCCAATTTAGACAAAGTTAGTCATTCTTTTCAGTCAACTTTGTCAATATGATATTAATGCCTTTCAGCCCTTAAAATAAATGTTTGTCGTATCAGTGTCTTTGAGGTTATTCCTTACAGCTATTCCTGTATAAACTTTCTGTGATTTTTTTTTTTAATAATTCAAATTTTAAAAAGTGAAGTATTACTGAAAAAGTGAAGGTTATCGAAAGGGGGGGGGGAACGATGGGACAGACACACAAACACCCCCACACCCCCCCGAAAATTATTTGATGTGGCCATAGCGTATGCTTATGTTTCTTTCAAAAAGCTAAATATAGCAGTGCCGTAGTAAAGTTACATCATACTGTTGATGTATGCTCTGGTACATAGGTGTGATTTGTTGTCACAGCACTTACAGTGGAATATGCAAATAAAAACTAAAATATATTAAATGACTAAAATTCATTATATGCTGGAAACTGAAGTTTCACTTGTTCTGTTCAATGTGTATTATGCTTTGTTGCAAACCCATAAAACGCATGGATTAACATAGACTAACTACTTTATCAATGGCTGTAGGAGAGTATCACACATTACAGAAAAATTTTATTACAGTGTTCTTCAAGCATCAGAGTGCCATTTTAAAAGGAGTGGTTAGCAAATAAAAGGAAAGCTTCCTCATTGTAGGAAAGACTTCTTACCAATTTCAGCATCAGAAATACAATAATTAACATGTGCTTTAAAATTACTTTAAAAAAAGATTACACTAGTTTCTGTTGTCCAGCCTTGATGCGTAGCTCCAAGCATGTGCTTGTTTTTAGTCTTTTTTTTTTTTTAAGAAGTTGTCTTGCTGCAATGGTGTCTAGTTAGCTTTCAAAATAAATAGTAATGGCTACAGGTGCTATTCATGTGGCTAGTTCAACTCCATACTAAAGTTTCTTTCCTCATAAAGCAAACGTCTAGTCAGGCATGTGACCCTAAAATTTAGGATTAAAAAGGTCAAAGATGTATTTTGGATTTCCTGTATTTTTGTTCTACTGGCTTGTAACCAGTTTCTGGATCTTTTGAACTATTGTATACTTAAAGTGCTTCCACATTAAATATGAAGCTGTGACCATGATGTGGTAAAGAGTGAATTTGCAGTTTGTTTCTGTTTTTTCTGCCTATTTTAATGGGCTGTTTTAACTATATAACTTCTGACTCTTGTTAAGCTAAGAATGGAAAAACAAGGTTTTAAAAAGTAAAGAGCTAGCTTTGATTTTAAATATTACATTGTACGCTTAGGAAGACAAAACTAAGACCAAGTAATCAATTTACAAACAAGTAATCATTTTAATATCCTATGTTTTGATAATGCTAGCGATTTACTAATAAGCAGTGTTTGCCTTTTTTATTCAGCAACTCTGTATGTTAAATCTCAAAGTGCCAGACACTATAGTCATAATACACAAGAGAAATGTGTACACAGCAAGAATTTTCTTCTCAGTGCTCACTTTAGAGGAACAATCTGGTAGAATGAGAGCTGTTCTGTTTTGAAGCTTTTTCAAGCTTTGTCTGCCTAATTTTTAAGTATGTCCTGTCTGAGCAGTATGGTTTCACACGGGTTCCTGTATAGAGGCATTGATAGAAATGCAAGTCTGTTGGGGACAGTCCATCAACTTCTTGCCCTATTATAAAATTCTATATGAACTGTTAATCTTATAGAGCTATTGAATGTGATAGGTCTAAAAATAGAAGCAGCAAATGAACTTATTTCACTACTCAGAAGTGATTTAATAGTACCTAAAATTATTGTACCTAGCAACTTTCTGAGAGTGGGAATCAACTTTAAATATTCCTACAACAATTTGTGTGCATACTTAATATTCTTGTTGCTTGTTGAATATCTCCTGATGATCAGTCTGTTAAGTATTCACACAATGCCAAATTAATTTCTTTATTAAACAATTAAGGCTTGTTTGGGCTACCCAAATAGTTTTTTATCAGCATAGCACTAGTAATAGGAAAAAAAAAATTAGGAGGCATAATTTGCAATCTTTTTTTCCACTTACTTTGTAGGTTTACAAAGTACAGCGATAGATTCAACCAAAACATCTGTTTTCCTTCTGGGTTTTGTTGTGGGGGTTTTTTTTCCTCTGAAAGCTGTAAGACACAGAGCTTTCCTAGCCAAAAAGGCTAGCAAATTAAATTTCTTCTGAGAGATTCTTTTATAAATCTTCACAAGAGTTCTCTTTTCCTGCGGTGTGGTATTTCTCAGCCTTTTTAAAATGAAACAGACACCTAGTCTTTTGAGGAGGGGAAAAAAAATGCAAGGAGTGTCATCTACAGTGTTGTCACAATGTTTTTGATTTACATCCAAATAAAAATCAGACTTAATTCTGTCAATGCCTGTTAATTTGTCTTCTCCCATTTTGTTCCATTTTCTCATTTGGATTTATGAAAATGTGCAAATGTGTATATATATTCCTAGTACTGAGAAAATTTATGGTTCTTGGACTTCTTTCTGATGTTTTAGAGTTTGCATTTTAAGAAATGCTGCCCTAATAATACATGGCAATTGTAAAGTTCTGAACAGGGTAAAGTTCCAAACAGGGTAAAGTTCATTGTTTGTCGTGGATACCTGGTTGGCAGTTATTGCTGGGGGTCTTTATCCTGCACAGCGTACACTTTCCCACTTAATGTAGTCTTAACATATCTGCATTAGCAAGGGTCCTCATTAAGGGTCATTGTCTTTAATATGTGTGTTTTCTTAAACTATTTTGTAAAGCCAGGGCCATTACTATTTATTCTGAAGCCAGTGATTCATTCATTGCAGGATAGTTTAAAGCCTATCAGCTTTTAGAGGCTCAGCCTAGCTTAAATACTTTCACATATATTCTACATAAATCCTATTTCAGGTTGATATCCTAAATCCAAAGAAACATAGAATGGTATCAAGAAACCTCTATGGATTTTTGAAGTTTCCTATATTCAAAAATCTAATATTTCAGAATGGAATAGCTGACCAAGAGAAAATAAATCACACTTTCTACGCTAAAATGTTACTTTATCATTAAAAGGGAGACAAAGCCTTTTGTTTCTACATGAGAATCACAAACTTTGCTCCTTATGTAAGCTTTTTTCTTTCCTTTTCTGCATGCTGCATCATGTTTGTATTAATTGTATGCATATATGTATGCATATGATTAGGAAGAGTTCTGTCCAGAACATGTCCAAGATGGACCTGCTGCTGGCCAAGGCTGAGCCAATCAGTGACAGTGGTAGTGCCTCTGGGTTAACATATGTAAGAAGGGGAAAAAACTGCAACAGCAGCCAGAAGAGAGAGGAGTGAGATTGAGAGTGCATCATGTTTGTATTAATTGTATGCATATATGTATGCATATGATTAGGAAGAGTTCTGTCCAGAACATGTCCAAGATGGACCTGCTGCTGGCCAAGGCTGAGCCAATCAGTGACAGTGGTAGTGCCTCTGGGTTAACATATGTAAGAAGGGGAAAAAACTGCAACAGCAGCCAGAAGAGAGAGGAGTGAGATTGAGAGACACAACTCTGCAGACACCAAGGTCAGTGAAGGAGGAGGGGCAGGAGGTGCTACAGGTGCTGGAGCAGAGATTCCCCTGCAGCC